TGTACCAAACAGGCCCTTAGTTTGGAAAGCAATTTTACCTCTTGATAAGAAACATCACAGATTTGGGAAGTGGTCCCCAAATTGGGAAGGACCATTCCGAATTCATAAAGTGTTGAGAGGGGGTGCTTATTGGTTAGAATCACTTGATGGAGAGCTTCATCCTAGAAAAATCAATGGAATTTATCTCAAGCCTCATTATCCCACAGTTTGGGAGGCAAGAGGCTTAGAATCCCAAAGAATGGTTTGAGCCAAGTTCATTTTTCTGTCTGTGCATAAATAATTTGATTTGCTTTCATTTATTTATTTCAAAATAAGAGCAAGTTTGATCAAGCGGCCATGACTGGCTGTGGATGGCTAGATGCACTCAAACAGAGTTAGCTGTGAAAAAGTTGGGAATACTTGCTACAATCATCTTGGGATTTAGTAGATTCTACATGTGGCCTTTGGAGTTTGGAGTCTGAAAGGTCATTTAAAATTTAAACACTTGGATTTATTCCCATAAAACCAAGTGTTGGGGGGCATTGTTTACACCTAAAATAAACCAATGAGAAAAGGCCACATGTCAAGGTGAAGCCCAATTATCAAGAAAAGTCAACGGGCTAGATTTGGGCTGGGTTGGGTTGGATTATAATTTAAGGGCCCAAACGAATTTTTTAAGAAGCTGGAATTGTAGGTGGCAAAAGATAAAATAACTTCTAGTATTTGAGTTTGATTTAAGTTAGGAAATTGAGAGTTTTTAGGAGGAGGTTATCTTTAGGGTTTTATTGGAGTTAAGATTCAGTAAAAACTGTCAACTGCCAGACAGCTGCCAAACATGGAACCCCCGCTACTTGATTATGATGGGAGAGGGCCGAGAAACATGGAAGAGGTTTCCCAGCACCGAAGAAAAGAAAAACATGAGGAAGAGATCAGTTACGGACAGCCTGCCCTACACACACACACTGCCTAGAGCATATTTTTCAACTTTCAGACAGCTTTCTCTAGATTTCAGCAATAGTTTCCATATTAGTTTACTAGATTTGTTCTTGTTCACAACCTTAGGTCAACTTTTTCCATCCTTGCTCATATCTTTCGTCAAAGACTTCAATTTAAGTTAGTTTTTAAGCATTTGGAAGCAATTCAGCCTGTAAAACAGGTCTGCCTTGTTGATTTGGTTAGTTCCTCTTTCTTTTATGGATTCAGTTATGTTATTTGTTCATGTAAATAGGTTGAATGCTTTCTGCCTTTGTTTTTTTGTTTTTGCACAACAGCCAAACATGCAATTTATTTAATTTCAATTTCCAGACTTAATTTTATGAGTTTCCAGACTTTAATTATGTCGTAGTTTCTTCTTCAGTTTTAGTTATCAATTAGTTTAGCTATTTTTATTTTAAATCTGGAAGTATTTAAGTTTAATTATTATGGATTGCATAGTAGAAATCATTGTCTGTGATTTTATATTTTCTACTGTCAGTGAATTTTATTTTTATGGCATATTGTTTTCTTTTATTGATCTCATGTTAGATTAATTGCCTTAAGATTTTGTGTTAATTTAGGATTTGTAGCTTTTATTACGCTTTTGTAGTTGTAAAGTTCTTCAAGGTTTCTAAGGCAATTAGTAACTTATTTTACAGAACTCCACCCTTTGTTTTGCAACATCGTCTAGGGCACAATTTATTTCATAGACGTTATTTCCAGTCATTCTTTTTGGGGGTCAACCGTTGGAAATAAAAAGGTTCGTATGAAAAATCTTGTTTTCTTGTTTTTAGACAAAGCAAGTGGCACGCCTAATAACCAAACTCACGTCGTATAGGCTGACTGAGGATTTTTGGGAAAACAATCCTTTGTTGGCACGCTACTGAGGTTGATGGCCATGGTCTACAACAAAAGCCAGCTGAGGATTTATGGGGAAACACAAAGAAAAATATAAGGAAAGTTCAAGAACTAAATTCAAAGCAAGGTTAACAGGGGAAGAACGAGCAAAGGTGTATATAAAGATATAAGTTTTTTTTTTTTTTATTTAAAAATGTAAAGTTCATCAAATTTTAAATTTTTAAATAAAATAATAAATTTTAAATTTTTTTTAATAATTAATTAAATCATTAAAAAAACAATTATTCATACCAACATTATCGTAATAGAAATAATAAGAAATTTTAAAAATTCTTAATAAATTATCATATAAAAAATTTATTAAAAATATTTAAATAATTTTATAAATAATATTAATATTTTAAATGTTAAGATATTTTGACTTTCACTTTTCACCATCGACAAAGGATACAAGAATTTCTAAAGCAAATGGGAAACAAGCTTGTGGTAACACCATTTTTTTTTTTTTTTATGGTAGCTGGTAGCAAACTAGCGGGCATTAAATTTGTCATAAAATCATAAAAAATTTCCAGAGCAGTGGTTGTGAAATATAAAATTTCTATATGTCGACGTCCAGGCTCGTAGTTGTGGAAGAGAAAAAGAGAATAGCTTGCAAAACGAATGTTAAACATCATGTGGCCGACCTGATTCACTCTCCATATGTTAATAAGTTTTACAACTTCCACTTTCACAGTATCCATGGAACTCTTCCTTGGAATTACTGATTTCATCAAGACTATTCAGTGGATCTTCATTGTCAGTGTCACAACCTTCTAAAGTTGGAATAACCCAGTCAGTACCATCTCTTGAGCCATCTCCATCTGCTGTGGAAACTAAACTATGACCTTCCTCAATTCTTTCCTCTTGATGGAACATCCTTCTAGCATTTCGACGTCCTAGCAGGACAAGGTCCAACATTTTCCTTCGAGCAATATAAACCGGATTGGTCTCAACCAGGCATCCTTTGCTATAAGCTTCTCTAAGAAATACAGTCTGGGTGCTTCCCTTTGTTGATACATAGAATATTCCAGGGTGTTTCAGAAGCAGTTCACGCACGTTAACTTGTATTGCAAAGTCTTTCCTAAAATGAGCCAGTTTGTCAACTTCAACCATCTTCTCCACAGTCAAGCTCAGCAACTCATGAATGATTCCAACTGCCCGCTTCTCAAACCGCTCAACTCCTCCACAAGTACGTACTCTCATACCCTCTCTTCTTTCATAAGGCTTCAAATAAGGAAGCCTCTGCCAATTCTTTAACTTCTCCCTGTATCCTATCTCCATCTTAAATCCAGTTGGAAAGTTAATAGGAAATGCATATCTTGTTTCAAACTCACTCAACCATTTCTCAGTGTACTCTTTTTCTCTCCATTTTTCAACCTCAGACACTGTCAAACTCTCATCTCTTGCAACTAGTTCAACAATTTCCAAATCAGTCAGCCTAAAATCCAAGGAGTACTTTCCCAAAATAGAATCCCAAAAATTTTCAGGCAAACCTAATTCTCTACTTATCAATCTCAAAGCATGAGCATGGAGGGTCCCAGTTTTAGACATCATCAGCAACTTCTTTATTCTCCTTACTAATTCTGATTCATATTCTTTCATAACCCTTTTTTCCTCATCAATCAAATCCCTAAATCTTGTACTTAATCTGCAGCAGATATTCTTCCTAATTGGGTGCTTAAATACTTCAAAAACATGGGGATACTTGTGAAGGAAGATGCCCATGCCCACATTAAGTCCAACAATGTTTCTCCAACGGGACATCAGCTGTAAGGAGACAAAGGGGCCTTGTTTTCGATGGGAAATGAGCTGCTGGATTTTGAGAACAGTTTTGAGTTTGTTAAGGTGGGTAATAAGCTTGTCAAGTTTAAGGTCTCTCGTTCTTGTTTCTAAGCGAACCTGAGCTGTAACAACTGGTTTTTTCCATCTACTTTGGGAAAATGAGTTGAATGGGCCGAACGAGATTTTCAAGTCCCTTAAGCTTGTAAAAGGAATCATCTTTGCTGATCTGTTTACTGCAAAAATATCCTTCAAAGAGTTCACAAGCTTTTGGTATGAAAAGTTTTACACTAGTTCCTTCTGAAATGCAAAAAATGGTAATCTATTAACAATGTTTGAAATATGAAATAATGAAGGGAAAAAATATGCATTTCCAGCTCTTGCCTTTACTACGGAAAACTGTGGATGGGTGTTACTCTTGAATCTCCAGGTTATCATACTTCCTAACAAATGCAAGTTCAACCTATTCAACAGCAGAATAGCATATAGTCAAAGCCAAACTACATTTTTTAAGTTTAAAGAAGCCAATGACCGAAAATAAAAGGTTTTTTCATTATGTAGTTTGACAAAAGTATCACATATTACATAACTCAGACAATTGAGACTCATATGACAAAGAAACTCAGATGGGACAGGATGAAAAGGCCTACTGGTTTTCCTGATGTTTTTTCTGTATCCTTTCACGAATTAACAAATATCATTGCCTGATGACCTTGCCTTAATGAATCAACAACCTAGCACAAAATTAAGATAATTTAATAAACTGCAGTTAAGACAATTATGAAAAAGAAACATCTTAGATACGAACAACCTTCGTATAGCATATCTCATTTATTGCCGATAAAAAGGCAAATCTCACTTAATATTTCATTGCAAGCTGCAAAGTTTTGCTTACTGGTTTCAATGTGCCACTAAGCAAGAGGAACTGGACGGTAAAAAAGAGAATTCAACTGAGAAACTGTGCACCCTGGACATTTATATCAGAGACAAAGCATACTATGAAGCCAAAGTTTAAAATGGCGCCATATTGAAGGCACAAAGAGAAGAGTTACTATGAAACCTCAATCAATTAAATTGTCTGTTAAGAAAAACCCCTAAATAATTAGGAATAGTAGCTGAAAGGCCCACAATTAATATCATTGTCATTTTTTCTTTTCTTTTTCTTTTTTTGAGCAGCAAAAAAAAAAAATATATTAAACAGGGCACAAGGGGTACTCAAACCCTATACAAAGCCCATAAATTCTATACAAGTAAAAACTAGGAGTCTCATTGTCTATGTTGCATCTAACTACCACCCAAATGCAATGGAAATCCAAGAAAAAATAACTTAAATTAAAACTGACAGTTACAAAGAGAACAGGCCTCTATTCAAACATCCTAGATGGAAAAAAAATAAATATTGTGCACCAAATTGTTATTACACCCACCCCAAAGTTCATAGACCAAAATGACAATGTAGCATGCTTAATTAGTATACCTTTTCCAATCATGTCAACGCTGACTCACATAAAAAGGATTGTGCTGTAAATGATTAGGCATATAGCTGTAACCAAATGCAGGCACTCCAGCTACTTCGACTCCAATAAAAAGTAAATATTTTGCTCAGCATCGCAAAAAATCTAACACTAAGCAATAGGACTACTGCTACCTACCAAAAATTGTTTTATCATATATGAATCTGAAAATAACTACCCAAAACAGTTCTTGATAACAAAATCTCTAAGTCTACTCATTCAGTCGTTTCTTTGAATTTCTTTTTGTTTTTCTCAAGAAAAAAACACACTGGAATCTAGTAGCCCTTATTTAGTAACCAAACAACTGAGTAATTTGGTAACATTACCCTCCATTTAGTAGCCCTTATTTCCCCAAATCCTTGATCTCATGTCAAGCTGGAAGCCAGAACACTTTATGAACTAGTGCAAGGAAACCTCAATTTTAATCTTTTGTCATTCAGAATGACAAAACACTCTGGAAGTACTAAAACACAAGATATAACACAATATCCAGACTACCTACAAAGTAGAAAGACTATGCAACAGAATTAATTAAAAACTTACTCAGTCAAGCTAAACCATCAACAACATGGAGAAGACACAGAAAACATTTGACATATCATGAAGGTAACTTCCCATTTATTGTGATTAAAGGAGTCTATTCTTAGCAGCCACTAAAGAATGCAAATAATTTACTTGAGATTGAGCTCAATTGGTAAGGAACATGTTCCTCAATCAATAAGTGATGGATTTGAATTCCCCCACCTCCAATATAAAGAATTTTATTTTTAAAAAAATTCTAACTATTGTCTATTATATAATTCCTGTTTTATCTATGTAGGGATTCCTTTGGAATGGATATGTAATATAAATAAGAATTACGTCAAGAACCTAACTAGAAGAATCTAAAAGTTGGTGTTTGGATGGCCAACTTTCAGAAACTTATGAGTGGTTTTTGATGACAATTGCCAGTAGGAATGCCAATGTACACTTGGCAGTATTAGAGCTTAAGTCAGTGGAAACTCATCTAATTCCACTAACTCTGCAACACTAACCTTGTACTGTTTGCAAACACTTGAGCATTTCATTTCTCTTCAATTCCAGCCAGGAAAGAGAAGTTGCAAACTTGAGAACTGGAAGAATTCAGGAGAATTCTGTGCATTTCATTGTCAGTGCATTGTGTGGTAACTACAAGTTATAGTTTTGATAGCTAACTAAATAAAAGCATGTTATAAGCTATGTTCAACATGTAAATGAATACTTACATGCATATGGATATATGTTTGAGTTACAGATGTTAGACTAAATAAAGCATGTAAAGTACTTAGCCAATCTGCAGTCTGTATGCACAATGGCTTATTAATTTGCTACAATTCTTTCATAGAGTTATACCATATGAAAGATCAGCATGTGCCATGATATGCATGTAAATCTATATACCAATCATGATGACTTAAGAATAAGGACAGAACGTGTTGTGCATGTTTTGTAATTGAATGCTAAGATATACCAAATGCATGCTGTTTGTTTTAGAAGCTATGGAAGTTTGGGACCTAACCTAAGCTTATGGTTTATAGGTATTGGTGGACACTTTTTAGGGTGCTATGGACCTCCATATGAGAACTAGTGCGCCTCTGCACGGTAGGGTTGTGTGGAGACTTGCTCCAGCACGAATGTGAGTGCATGCACATTTAGTGGACTCCACAGTCTATATACTTCACTGATTGTGGTGTAACATGCTTTGTGTTTGTTTGTCATATCTTAATTCTGTTAAGAGTAAGACTACTCAGCATACCACAATTGTTGAGCCTAGGACCATGTTATGGTTTAAGTTGTTAATATGACCTTAACTACCCAGTTAAGTTGTTAATATGAATTCCCGTGCTAAGTCTGTTATGAAGCATACTATGCTATACCTGTTCTCAGCTTATGAAATCTTGATGTTCTGACTTAGTTTTTATGAATTCTATGGACAAGTTTAATTGACTTGTTAGCTGCCTTAAATTAATTAATGGCTTAACAGTTAACTGTTCAGTTATATCCTAAAGCTATAACAACAAGAGCTTGGTCGAGTTGAAGCCCAACTTCCATTGAATTAGTAACAAGCTATTACCCGTTCATTGAAATGAGATTACACACTATAAAATGAACCGTGAAATGATGAAAATCGAGACTGCAACTTAAGCATGGACACTGAGGCGATTTGAAATTGAAACATAGACACTACAATTGAAGCATTTTATGCCATTTGAATATAATGACTCCACAAAATCATACCTCAGAAATCAATTGAATTGCGAATTGAATCAGAAAAAGAAGGGGCAGAACACAGAACAAACACCTGTAAGATGAAGGTTCAGTGCCACCGGAATCAGAGATGCATACCACCAGTAGCAACCCGTGCAGGACGGAGTCACGGAGGTGTGAGGGACTAACGATTCTGCTTCTGTGGAGCTGGTGCAGAATTGAAGTCTCGAAGAGCAAAGATGGAACCACGGTCAAAAAAAAAAAAAAAAAAAAAAAAAAAAGAAGAAGAGGCAGCAGCAGCAGACAGGGGGCAGCAACCTGTGTAGGACGGAGGAGTCACTGGAGGGACAAGAGAGAGGGGCTGACGAAACGACAGTGAAGCTAACCCTCAAACTCGAAGAGCAGAGATAGAAGCAGCACCGGAATAGAGGGTGCAGACCGCCGACAGTAATCGTTAAGGTCGGAGTCACTGATTGACGATGAGTTTGAAGCGGAGTGAGCGACTCGAAACGGAAACAGAGGTTCACGATGGCAAAACCCAAGCCCCTGAACTAACCCCATTTTTCGCGTAAAAGCCCTCAGAATTGTCTAGCCCTATAAGCCCTTGAATGCTCTGATTCAAGCAAAATTAGCCCTTACATGTAGAGTAAATTAAAAAGTTTATCTTGGTTGTATAATGAGAATCACTTACACTCACGTCATAATTATACTCTTTATGTCATTTATGTCCTATCTCAATGATATATACCACCATTATATAACTTAAGAATGTTGTTATTGCATCATACAATTTTCATTAATAGCAAGGACTGTTATCACCTTTTGATTAACAGACATCCTAAGGACCTTTTTTTTTTTTTTTGATCAACTGACATCCTAAGGACTTCATCAATGTTTAATGTACGTAAAAGAGTAATAATTAACATTCGATAAAGAATGTTATAAATATAATGAGTGTAATCACAATATAGGATTTTCTTGTCAACCCAATTGACTCTTAAGGCATACTCTAACATGAAATTATGGACAAAAAATGAGAATGCCAACTTTGTCTATCCTTACATATAGTAGCTCATTACTTAAACCCTACAATCCACTCTAAACATGAATTTAGATTTAAGACTTACTAGTGGATTGATGGATTGCATTAAAAAATTGGAGTTTGTTCACATAATAAACTCTAAATCTCTAACACTAGCATCAACTAGACATATCTTTCCCTAAAACAAGCATGCACATTACACTGAAGTTGAGAATTTCAACAATAGCTTCATGATAGATGTGAAAGTTGGAACTCACATTACAAGTGCTTGTTTGGTTAGTCTTTGTCACAAAAAATATTTCTAGAGTAGTAGTATGCCTTTAAAATGTTGGCTTAGTGCCTATTTGGTATAGCTTGTTAGAAGTAACTTATTGAGTTTAAAAGCACAAGCTATACCAAACACTCCAACTTTTGAGAATTGCTTGAGTTGGTGAGAAGCTGGTTTAGCTCCTCAACTCCTATCTTTTGAAAATTGGAGAAACATGGATTTTGTGCTTTTGTAGGAGCTTTTGTGTTGATTTTGAGCCTATTTGGTGTGACTGGAGTTTTTAATAAAAGTCTTGCTTGAAAGAATCTATTATAGAAGTCTTGTTTTAGAAAATGAAGCATGCTACATTTAAGTCACATAAATAAGACAATAAAATTAAAATTATGTTGAATAATAATCTTGACTGACTTTCCATAAGGGATAGAGATATGGAATCTCAAAATGAAGTTTTGCCACAATCCTCCATTGTATAGGCAAAATTATTTTCAAAAATTTTTTGATTCATGCTCTCTTTCCTTGGCACTTTAGGCATATAATTTAGGTCATGATCACACCTATCAAACTCTCTATCCTTAATAACATGTTGCTTAATATAATTACAAAATGTAGTAGTTGCAACTACTATCTTTCTTTGTATTGTGAATGAATAATTTCACATGTTGGACAATATTTCAAACCTAATTCTTTAACACCTAATAGATTGTTTAATGACATTTCTAAGACAAATGTGAGCACAGTTGAATACTTCTTGATAACCCAGTGGTTGGCTTCCATATCTAAAATCAAGAATGTGATACATTTCTCCTTTAAAAGGTTAAAATATCTTTTATATCAAGATAATCAATATCAACAAGATAATATTTGCCTAAAATATAAAAGAAAAGTCATTGACAATAACCAATGAAAATGTGCTTAAAAATTCACTAAAATTTTTGCTAAGAAACTATAATACAAAATAAATAGAAAATAATTACCATCATGATGATAAGGGAATACCTCCTTGTGCTTCCTAATGTGTTGGTGAAAACACATGCAACATGATTAGATCTAGGCCACCTTGTAACTACAAATGTAAATATCATGCCAAAACTGCAAACTACCATCACATTGTTGGGGTGTGCTCATGATGTGGGTTGACGAGTCAGTAGCAACGATGATGTGAAGGCTGACTAGGATGCCACCTATAAAAAAAACGAGGAGGGCCCTTTTGGCAGCACCTATAAAAAAAATGCTATGTGCTACGGGTTGTCTTGCTCTGTCCAGCAATATTGTCTAGCAACAAACTCTCCAGCAGAGTCTGAGAGTATAAATTTTCTAGCCAAGTGGTGAAGAGGAAAGACAAGCAATGGTGGTGAAGTTCCAAGAGTCAAGAATGATCACGTAGTTACCAAAATGCATACAAAGAAGATGTACATTGTGGTAGGAATATCAAGGACAGCGAATTTATGAAGATCAAAGATTACAACTTGAGAGGCACATTCACACATAAAATATTGTTACATAATAATAATGACAATAGATATGCCTTCTACTATCCCTTGCAAATATTCCCACTCTATAACAAGCAACCCTCATGTTGTAAATGCAAAATACAACCATCTCTCTTTTAAAGCTCTTTCAAGATCAAAAAGGGTAAACTTGTTTTCGGTGGTGTTGGTGATGTAGATGGATGAGTCAGCAGTGATGATGACACAGAAGCTAACTAGGATGCCACCCGAGAAAATGGGGGGTTCTTTCGGCAACACCCGTCTCACGTGCAAGAGGCTACATGCTACGGGCCATCTCGTGATGATATCTCGCAATGCACTTTCTAGAAAAAGCTTTCAAAAAAAATGGATCCTTCGGCCAAGCCGGTAGAGTTGGGTAGCAATGGTGGGATTCCAGGGGTTCAAGATGATTACACAACGACCAAAAACATGACAAGAAGAAGTTGTGCGTTGTTATAGAAGGACAGCAGAGATGTAAAAGACATATGGCTCAAAGATTACAACTTGAGAATCACACTCATACATAAATCATTGTAACATGATAATAATGACAATAAATGTGACCTCCTTCATCTCTAGTGTATATTTTTACTCTATAGCGAACAATCCTCATGTTGAAAATGAAGAGTTCAGCAACTACAATCTTGAGGTTTTTCCAAAGACAAAGGGGATAAACTTGAGAGTGATGATGAAAGAAGGAAGGATGACTGCTTGGGAGCTTACGAATGGAGCGCTTGATCCTGTTTTTTATGCTAACCTTGCAACCTTGATCATCTGATGCTCAAGCAAAACTACCCGAAAGCTGCAACTATAGCCTGTTGTTCCCCAACCATAATATCTTGTAGGCCTGGGACTGTTTTGTGATGTCAGGTGTTATTTGGCACTACTGAAAGATGCTTCGCAATGTTGAGAAGTATTTTGCAATATTCAGAAATATTCTACAGTGTTGGGAAATATTCTGCAGTGCTGGAAATGTTCTGCAGTGCTGGGAAATATAGGAAATCCGAGAAAATGGTGATTTCCGAATGGCTTAAGGGTGCAGGGTAGGAGGTTGAAGGCGGAATATTTTTAAAGGAAAAATAGAGGCTTTGGTGAGCGAGGAAGAAGGGCTACTTGCGTCTTCTCTGTTCTGTATGTTCCTTGAAAATGAAAAGCAAATAATTTATATATATATGTAGTGGTAGTGTTGTAATTTCTGGTTGGTGGCTTAGAGGTGTGTAGAAAGGCTAGGGTGAGCTATCAAATTTTCAGTGGTTTCAGGCACTGTTGGCACTCTATGACAGTGGCATCATGAATTGACCAATGATCCCAGTGAAGTTTTGCTAGTTCTGGTGAAAAAACTAGAAATGGTATATTTTTGGCAATGTCCTCAACCATACGAAATCCCATTTTTGGAGAGGTGCTTGAGTGCAGTTGGCAAAAACAACATCCGCATAGGATTTGGTGAGTTCCCCAGGCTCTGCGCAAGATTTTGGAAGATTCTGCCAGCAGATAACAATCTTTTACAACAGTTTCTAAGGCCATGGAACTTGTGTAGCCACCCTTGCATTAAATATGGCTGCAAGTGGCTGATGGTGAGCAAGACAGCACCTTTAGTTAGTTTTTGGCGGGATTTCTAGTCTTCGGTTAGCGTCAAATGGCACTATTCTGAGAATCAAGTTCATTTCCATGCTTTCGGCACCCAGCCTTTTTCTAGCAAAGTTGAGTAGCATTGCCAATGCCAAGCTTCACTAGTGTGGATGCCTTACTTCGCCAAATGGGCAATGTTCATCCATCCATGCCTACCAAGCCACTACTCCCATAATTTATCCCAAATAATTTCCATGAGCTTGGATTCGTGGGCTTGTATTTATCTACAATGATAGCAAAGCACATGTGAGTATATATTTAAGAATAAGAAATATATAGGCATATGCAGCGAAGAAGGAAACTCCCTCGTGCGTTAAGGGGGCTATGTGGATCAATATTTGCTACTCTCATTTGCTCACTGGCCATGGTTGGCAGCAATATATTACTGTTGTACATGGCTGGCGTTGCACCAGAATGAGGAACAAGTAGTATGGGTGTGTACTGCGATATCGTTGTTCCGAGCCGAACTTGGTTGGCTGGTGATACTTGCTGACACGTAAGATATAGAAAATATGTGTTATAAGTCGGGATTACCGGTGACTAGTAATTTTGTCCTCTTGTATAGAAGAGTGACTATGTGCATGACCTCCGACTATGTTATGTATGTATTGCGGGGTCAGTCATGCATAGCCTTCCCATAGCTAGAGGGACAACAGTGGCTAGCTTTGTCCATGGCTGGAGCATGAACTATGTGGAATTGAAAGAGCACTCCTACTAATCCACCAAGCTACAAAGAGGTAAATTTCATTAAACCAGACTTCGCCATAGCAATGAATATGTATAGAGAAAGGTAGAGTTGTCTCCATGGAAGGGGGATGCCAGTCACATCCATGGCCTCTGATACAACAAGGTGTGATACCACTGACAAATATTGGCCCTTCTTACTATACCCGTATCGTCAGAAGGTGGTCCTGGTCATTGTTGCTTGTCAAGCATTGCACCACCATACACGGGTGACCACTAAGGGACTGTTGGTCGCTACTTGCTAAATTTTTATCGTTGGAGGGTAGCCATCCCATTCAATTGTAGGGTTGCAACTGTAATTGGCCTCATGCTAATCGTACCGAGTTGAGCTAACTCTTTGTCCATTTCCGGAAGCCAGTGAGATAGAATATGTAGAAATCTGACCCTTTGTCTATTGTCGGGAGCCAATGAAATGAAGATGTGTGGAAATGTGTAGCCTTTTGTCCATTGCTAAAGGCTAAATGAGATAGTAAATTTGACCCTTTGTCCATCACTAGGAGCTGTGTAGATATAATAAAATTAGCCCATTGTCCATTAATGGAAGCCATGCAACAAAATAG